CCACCACCACCACCACCAGCAGTAGTAGGAGCAGCAGAAATCATGGATTACCACGGGTCTGACTTGTAGCAGCAGCAGCAGCAGTAGCGGACGCAGCAGCATAAGCAGCAGCAGCACTGCCATTAGATCGAGCTGCAGCAATAGCAGTAGCAATAGCAGGCAGCAGCAGCAGCAGTGTGGATACGTATTCGGTTGTTCACGGTAGAGTTCCTACTCAACATATGCACTTGTTGTAAAGTTCCTACTCAACATATGCACGTATTGTAAAGTTACTACTCAACATATGCACTTATTGTAAAGTTACTACTCAACACAGCGGCTAGTGTCCCACATGTTGATAGTTGATGACTGTAGATTAGGTGAATATTTAGTACAAGTAGTCATTGAAGCGTTTCTCACTATACTCTATAGTATCACCAGCCAAAGCGGCTGAATAGGGCAACTGAACCTGCTGCATCCATGGCTTTCCTTTCTCTATACTGGCCATGTTTCACTAAGGCAGACCAACAACATGCATGTGGCTTGGGTCCTGTGGCCGCAGACTGTTCACATTGTATTTATTTCAATTTTTTGTACCGTCATTCACTTCCAATTATTTTCGCCTCCCAGTCTCCTATTCTCCCTGTCTCTTTTTTATCTCACCCCCCCCCCCCCCCTCTCCTGTGTGTTCGGTGGGACTTGGCTTGCCCGTCAGTTGGCCAGCGGCAGTGTGGAACTCGGCAGCTCTAGCACACAGCTCGTATCTCCTTGCTATGACCAGAGTATCTAGTTTTAGTGAATACTGCGGCAAACGTCCGTGCAGATTTAATATATTCACTTTATTAGCCAAGCAGTCATATTGATGTAGCGGCCAATCTCTATTGAAATTACTACCTTACCGTTGCTGACATCATACCGCTGCTTGTCGAGTTGTAGTGCTTTTTTCTTTCTTTTGTTCACTGTGGCATGATTTATTGTTCTTATAAATATAACTGGTGGATGCACCACCGCATGAACCCGCACGGTTATGTTCGACTGCTCTTTCAGTCTGGAGTCCTGAGACCACTCCGGTTTCCCTTGCCTGCGTGCAAGCCTAGGGCGCCAATTATGCCCTTTGCTTGGGTCGGATTTCACTTATAGGACAGCGTCACTCACAGTACTTTAACTAAGAGAGTTTGAGAGAGACACCATACTGAAAAAGTACAAATTTTTTCGTTCACGAAATCTTTCGTTAGATCACTCCGCCAGCGCTGCAGCAGCAGGTTCGTTACAAACTAAATTAATTATTTCGTTTTTGGTCGAGGTGTGTCACCCCGAACATTCAGGAAAAAAAACTTATAGTTCGGTACAAATTTTAGTTATTTCGTGACGCGCGTGCCCCATAACCATGATAACGAGTATAGCAAAAGTCAATTCCAAACGAAACTTTGCGCTTATACAGTAGATGCGCAGCCCAGGTTGGTAGCGAACACAATGTTCACCTCATATCCCTCCCGCCATGGGTTGGTAGCGAACACAATGTTCACCTCATATCCCTCCCGCCATAGGTTGGTAGCAGAAACCAGGTGCCCCCTCGGTCATTAGAGGACACCTTGTGCACCTCAACCCCTTGTTAATAATAGCGGGAACCTGGCGTGCCTCAACCCCGTATCAAGAACCGAAACCGACCAAAAGAATGATGAGTGCCGGCGGGGCACACGTGCAGTACGTAAAGAAAATTCTGAAAAGAGATAATCGTGTTCATAGAAGAATCAAGTAGGAATATAAAGAAAGATTTGATCCGTGGAGCACCACTGTCTGGATGTGCTGTGTGGCGATGGTGGAGCACAGCGCACCTCTATTCAAGCAGACAGTGCTTATAACTTATAACTTATAAGGGCATGGAGAGGTGAAGGGGGGGGGGGGGGGGCTGATAAAAAAAGCTTTGAAGTCTCAAGACGGGTAGTAAAATGATCGACGAGTAAAAAAACCAGAGAGCCTAAAAATGCGTTAGGAATAAGCTAAAATGTATCTGAGTCATAGTATTATAACAGCCTCGGGCACGTATAGCTTGCGACGGCGAAGGCTCAACACCGATTGAGGGTCATCACCATAGTACTACGGATGCACGCGTTCCCAAAATGACCGCTGGCCACAGCAACTCAGCGAGAAGTAAGTGCAGTTCAAGAAACGAAACAAAACGGAGGAAGCTGCAACGCCGCATGCCGGTGGGACCAAAGTAAGACGCTCCGGCATAACAGCAGAGGTGATGGAGAGGTGGAATTTCTTTCACGCAAAAGCGTGATGTCTGAACGGGGCTTGGAAGTGTCGGACAAGACCACCAAATGATAGCCCAGGTGGTTAGAGTAGTATAGCCTTTGCAGAGCTAGCGGGTAGTTTTTAGAGAAATACCAGTTACTCAACACACCACACCATGTGGAGCAAACACGCGGCTGTGGCCTGCGCTGAGTTGCGGAACGAGCTGTGACGGCGTTTGTGGAAAGCAGTTGATTACAGGCGGGGTGTACGCTAGAAGCCTCTTCACTGTTAACTGTTGACAGAGACGACAGTAGCGTAATGAAAGATTGGTAACGCGGCTCGACAGCTAGCCACAGCGGAGAAACGACTCACTGGCGTGTGCGGAATGCCGTGCGTCCAGGCTCTGCAGATAGGATGAATGACGTGCGGAGCCTGTCCAGCAATGCGGTGATCTGAGCGGCCACGCATAGAACTTTGCTAGGATATCCGCCAGGATCTACCGTACTTGCACACACTCCACGACAGTGATGAGTAAATAATGCCCTCAGGGTAGCAGTGTATTGCCGTTGCACACGTCACCACACAAAGCGTCATAGCGCCGTCTCTGTGTTTGTCCACGTGCCGTATCCATACGTGCACGTACACACACGCAAACGGGCACAGTGGAACACACGTACACAAACACGTGCAGCACGACGTACTATCCAAGGTGACGTATCTGTACGCACATGTACACACACACGTGCACACACACGGGTACAGTAGAACACACACGCACACAAACGCGCGCACACGCACCACGGCACACTGTGCTATCTAACGGCCGTGCGCTCGGGCGCCTGCTTGTGCGCGACCAGCAGAAAGCCAATACTGCTGAGGGCGCTCACCAGGAATATGACGTCAAACCACTTGTGGTAAAAGCTGAACTCAAGCTGACCGAGCACATCGGTGACCACCTTCCGATACTCGAGCGGCACATTCATACGCATGAGCAGCACCGACGATACCGAGTACAAACCCATGATGTGCGCCAGAACGAGGACGATAATCGAGGACGACTTGGACGAGGAGACGGCGTAGAAGAACTTGGTCAGCGTCATGAGCAGCCCGCGGATGGACGTCACCACGATGATGCCGACCAGGATGAAGGAGATGTGCTGCGACCAGAACTTCGTGTCGATGCTGAAGCCCAGCCAGCCGACGGCGATCTCGATGCCGCGCGTCACTGGGTCCGTCTTGCCCACGCGGTTCAGCAGGATGTTGACGATGCACATGAAGATCTTGTACATGCAGTAGATGGAGAAGAAGTGGCCCAGCACGTCGAAGTAGCGGCCTTTAAGCGTGCGCGAGTAGGTGATGCGCTCGCGCACCGTGTTCAAGTCGACCAGCTCCAGGAACAGCTGACGGCTGACCTCCTCCATGGCGTCAATCTCCTGCTGCAGCTGCCCGGCACCGCCGTCCGACCCGCTTGACGAGAACATGCTCCACAGCGAGTTTGACGATGACGCGGAGGCAGACAGCGACGCCTGCTGCCGCTGCTGCAGGCGTATGGTGGCCAGGCGGCGTTTCTTGCTGCAGACCATGTCCATGGTCTGCGACAGCTTGCGCTGCAGCATTGTCACGTCGAGCGGCGTGACGTGACGCACGAAGAACGCCATGTACGTGTACGGGCAGTTGACCGCGCCGAACCCGGACAGGACGGCCATGATCGTCACGCCGATGACGCCCACGCGAGACACCAGCTGCTCGATGCTCAGTATGCCGTGGTCGCGCGACAGCATGGGGAACGGGTCGCCGAGCTTCCAGAACAGGAAGAAGAACACCGTCCACAGAGCGCCCGACGCCACCATGTGTAGGCGACGACGACGCACAAACCCCACCGTGCGAACAATGAGATAGCAGATGTTCAACGGCAGCACCACGATTAGCAGCAACAGCATGGAGTACAGGCAGAGATGCCAGTGGAAGCGCCGCGACCAGCGGTCCATCATGCCCAGGATCTCCGCTATGAGCAGCTCGAACATTGCACAGGACAGCATGAACGTGACCGCGAACAGTGCCTGAACATGCCACAGTCGCACCTCATAATCCTTGAACAGCGATCGCAGGAAAAACAGCCATCCGCCGCAGAAGAAGATCAACTGGCTGAACAGCATGAAGGTCTGGTCACCAATAAACCCCATGACTGAATACAGCTCACAGCTGCACCCTTTCTCTCTCTCTCTCACAGCTCTACTGGCTGTTGAACACCCTCCAACAAAAATAATTTCAATGAAATCTATTTCCAGGTTTCAGGAAAAGCACAAGAGCCAGCGTTTGAAGATTTATGCAGCAGTCTCGTCTGATATATCTTGCACAAAGCATTCACCAGATTCCAACTCTGCTAGGATCTCAAAACTTTCCTTTCCTATCCCAAGATCAAGAAGCAAGAAAAAGTGGGGCAGGCCAGCATGCAGGGACGTCTTTTGTCGTTTTTGTTTTTGTTTTGATTTTGAATACGATGACGCACTTTATTACAATAATTTTTTTTTTGAACCGTGACGTAGGGCCTAGGGTCAAGATGACATCTGGAAAGATCAAAACAAAATGCAACAATTTTGTTTTTGAATAGCAAACAAGCGAGAAAATGACTTTGAAGAGTTAGTTCTTTGTGATCTTCTGTCCAACAGTGAGCCGACATGGAGAATGTCCTTGTTGAGCAAAATGGCTTTGATACGGAGGAAAAGTCGCCCGGCTTGCTTCCCGTCGTGTTGCGGCGCCATAGCTGTTTGGAGAATATCAGTGATTTCGTCAGCTCTGCACTGCACGTCGAGAGTTTATCTTGTGTATTGATCTCGCGAGATGGGTACCTGAGTGTGAGATGGTTGGACGGCAGAAGGGACAGCGTGTCTTGCTTGGGAAGGGTCCAGCGGTTAGTGTCTGAAGCAAATTTCGCACGTCAATGGTTTAAATTTTTTCGAATTTACTCTGCTAAATACGAAGCCGTACTCCCGTGCACACACGCTATAGCATTGACTGTGTGAAATCCGACCCAGTGGGCACAGTTGGCGCCCCGGAACAGTTCGCACACCACTCCATTGTTTACATGATTGTGTTTGCACAGCTGCTTGCATACATGAACTACTTCCAGGGTGTCAAATGCTGTGCAAGTCACAAGTCACACATACATCATAATGCACTTTGCAAATAGTTGACGCGGAGACAACAAATTTAAAATAGCAATAAAGAGAACATTGATGGCGGCAGAATATGCACTTTGGGTTGGATTTCATCTAGTACTGCTGTACATAATAGTCCTGTCCAAGTCTAGTACAGTCGACCTACCCTTATAACGATAACCCCTATAACGATATTTTTCTGCCAAACCAAATCACTCCATTGACTTGTGTATACAACGCCTTACCCTTATAACAATATTGCTATAACGATATTACCCCTATAACAATATAAAATGGGCTGACCAATCAACATTTTCCATTTTATAACAATATCCAGCAGGGGATATGTAGAGTCCACTGTCAAGGTAGGGCAAGATTCACTTGATAAGTCGCTGGGACATGACGAAATGCAATGAGGGCACCAGTGGGCACCTTGCTGTGTACGTAATGTGCATGTACATACGTTTTTGACACTATGAAGAGTGTAAAAAATGAACTAAATTCATGCATTATGACGTATGTGTATGAAATGAACCAGTTACCTCTATAACAATATTACCCTTATAACAATATTTCTTGGTCAGATGAAAATATCGTTATAAGGGTAGGTCGACTGTAGCGCGTTTGATTGGTACGAACTAGAACAGGATTCACCAGAACAGCGCGTTTGGTTGGGACTGCACCTGTTCCGGGTCGGCCAGAACATGTTCTGCTTGCTCCGGCCTCGAGGCCGGAGCAGACCGGGCAGTTTCACTTTTTCACAGTGAAACCTGGCGGGAACATCAATTTTGGTCCCAAATGATCACGGCATACGCTTTCGGGTTAGACTCGTCGTACCGTACACAGTGACCATGGTGACCCATACACATTTTGAAGAATGCACCAAGTTTGGCATATTTTCACAAAAATAAATATGCTCTGTTTCTGGAGTACCGTTTGGTTGGCATGAGGCTGCTCCACGTGCACCAGCTGTTCGATCCCGTTCTAGATCCTACCAACCAAACGCACCCTAGGTTATGATAGTTTATCTGGGAGCAGGGGTATTAATCAAACAAGTGAGAACAAACTTACAACCACTGCCGTGCGTGAATTCGAAGGTGTAGCGATTGCATTGTCGGTTTTTACGTCAATATTCCCTTGCGTGTTCCCACCAGCCAGGGGTGTTGGAAGGTATAGGGCTTGAAAGTGCTACGTCACAGCATAGCACCAATTTCAAAAATTCGAAAACTGGATCCACTTAGATCCAGTTTTTGTATGGATCCAAGCACATTTCAAGCGGTCTTACTCATAGCAAGGTGATGTAGCCAGTGAAACTGACTGATTTGGCTAATGGGGGCGGGGTGACAACTGGTGGCGAAATAAAAGTCACACCTGCATGCGACATGAGTGGGTTGCTATGCACCCACATACTTAGGCAATGGCAAAGTCACCCCTTAGTAGATCCAAAATAGAAATCTGATGTCAACTTACTACTCCCTGGCCGTTTGGACGTCATCACTTTCAAGCCCTATTTCGGGGTGATACGGTCAGCCACCTGAAGCACAATTTACTTGTGGGATTGGGGGTGGCTCATCTGAGAAACTTGGAAATTTAGAGCCCAAATCAGTGCCGCTTATTGATTTACGCGGTGCCTGGGGCAAAGAGTGGTACGGTCAATACCGCCGTGACCGTAGTAGCGTGTCCGACAGCCCTGCGGTGCATATATAACGATTTCCTAAAGTTGTCTGGTTTACGTGTACCAAAGGTAGCGATTCTCACTCATTCTCAACGCTCAATATCAACAGTATATGTATTGATTTCTGTGTAACGATTTCTATTTTAACGACAGATTTCTCCTCGTCAAGTCGTTAGAATTGGCACTTCGTTATATATATGGCTTTTACAGTAGTAGTATTTATGAAGGGAAACCCCCTCTCGATCTAGTTCCATACTGGAATTTTCTGTTGCAGGAGAAGATACAGGCCCTTTCATTCATGTGTGCTGGAATTGTTGGCCAGAAACGCTTGCCATCTCAATGGCTCCGTCTCGCTCCACGTGACCCTAGTGGTAGTGGCTCTACATGACAGGACAGGTGTGTGTGTGTGTGTGTGTGCGTGCGCGTGTGTGTGTGTGCGTACGTGCATGCATGTGTGTTCAATTTTACTCCTCCCCGCAGATGTATTTGGACAAGTCACAAGTCGCCGCCGACGTTCGTTGCATTGACGGTTGACCTGCGTCTAGTCTGGGTCGCTGTGTTTGCCGAGAGCAGCCAGGACAAGCACGCCACCAGCACTCCTCCCTCGTGCTCACGTATTTGCTACATCACGCCGACAAGCATACGTCGTAGGATGGGCGCAGCTGGCAAAGGTATAAACTGCGCATCACTACGATTTTGTAGTTTTAGTCGGTAGAACTCGATAAACCCATTGCAAGGCAATGGCGTAGTTTGTACAGGCCAACACCTCACACAGCCACCTGGGCATGATCGTGTGCGGTGTTGAACAGTGCATAGCTGATCCTAGCATACTCACATGCATTACTCATACCTTCCATATTTGGCAATGCACACTGGGCTTATTGGGAACCTGTGACTTTACACCAGTCAGGAAAATACCGCTACCTGTACCTTGAAAGCTTTGGGCCGGGATGAATCTCGACCCCGGTCGATTTCAACTTCCGACCAAAGAGAAGGATTGAGAGCAGTTTTTCTAGTACTAGTACTAGAAACATACTACTGCTCATACTTGCGTACTTGATGTCAGGGTTGTGCATCACTACACACTCAGCTTCCCACGTTACACTCACCCATGCTGCTTTCGTCGATACTATAGCTCCCTTCATAGACTCGACACCCGCATGATTTAGCGTTATGGTTGCCCGTGTCGTCTCTCTGTTTGCTGTGACTCGCTGATGTGTGATGCATGTAGTAAATTTAGGGCTGCAACGGCTAGGGGTTTGGCCGGGTACCAAGTTCGGGTATTTCTATCCGGGTAGCACGGGTACCCTGTCGGGTATTTTTGACATAGTTTGTACAGCGAGTGTACACTTGCGCTACGTACAGAAAGTGTACAGTAAGCAGGTAGTCATGCTTTTTACATGCACAACTGCGAACACACCGTACTCCAACTGCCCAATCGCATTAATCGGTTTCTCAGGAGCAAACTGCTACCCGACTACCCGCTCTAATTACGGGTAGCACGGCTACTGTAAACCGTGAAATTATTGCCATGGTCTAATTTCTGCGATATTCGCGACCGCGTGGAAATCGCGAAATTTAGACAGCGCGAAAAGGAGATCCATGAAAGGTTTAGCAAGAATGCCACAGGTTTAGCAAGAATACCATTCTGCAATCGCAAAATTAAAACCTTGCAAACCTGTCCGGATTCTGAAAACGCGAACTAAAAACGCCGCGAAAATTTCACGCTTTACAGTACCCTACTACTGGACGACACCCCCATTCATTAATAGTGATGTTCATATTTTGTATGTGTGGCCCGCGTAACTCTACCTGTGCAAACACTGGCACCAGCTCACTTGCGTGTGTCTGTCTCTCCGCACACACAGATCTTCAGTTCAAGCAAGCCACATTGCTCGGACTGCTGTCCAACGACGATGTCGTCCTGCTAGTCGACCACCAGGCGCTGTTAGTTCTGTCGGTTAGTATACCAGATCCGGCAGCGACGCCAGCAGCATCAGCAACACCTACAAAGTCAGCGCCATCCACAGTACCATCTCAAGCGGCGCTGCCAACGTCCAGTAATGGTGGTGGAGGTGGTGGTGCAGAGCTGGAAGCCAACATCAACATCGTCAGCTGCTGCATGCTACGAGCACCCGGCGCTCACGCCTTCGCCGATCCTCCCGTCGTCATACCGACCGAATCGCGACCGGTTGCCGTGCGTCTCCAAGGCAACATAGCCGTGGCAGCCTGGACCGGCGGCTCCTACTGTATCCTCCTCGTTCATGCGTTTCTTTTTGTTTAAGATTTGAATTGTGATCTATGTGTGTGTGTGTGTGTGTGTGTGTTTGTATGCGCACTGCCCGGGTTTGTGGTGCTCGGGCTGTGCAATGCCTGGTCCTACATGTATTTTATTCATGAGTTCAGATTCCGCTGTTCATTACACTGACCCTAGGTATGAGCACAAGTGGCAGTTGCTGGTGCTTGTCAAGTAGTCTACTTGTACCAGTACCGTATTTTTCCGGTTGTAAGTCGACCTTTTACGACTAAAAATAGAAGGAGAAAGGGTGGGGGTCGACTTACAACCGGAATTCGACTTATAACCGGGAACTATCAGAATCTTACACAAAATGACCTGCCCTGCATGCATGAGTGCGCCATGTGTACACATGTTTGCCAGTTTATTGGCCTTTTTCAAGGATTGAGACGTTATACCCTCCAATAAGGAATGTTTACATGATTTGTTGAGGTGTTAGTAGCAGGGAGTGGTTGGTAGTGCTTCGTTGGGTGAAACCTTTAAAACGCAGAAATGAGGCCTCCGGATACGGGGTCGACCCTATAACCGGGGTCGACTTACAACCGGTAAAATACGGTATAGTCCTTGAGTCTTCTACTGTCGTGGACATGGAAATCCGTTCGCACGTCTAGCGGCCCCAGGGCGCTGGCCATGCAGCCGTCGATAAGCGGAACATGCATTATGCGCTGCAGCGCGCTGGTCGCATCGGATCAACATGACTTTGTGAACTGCACGCAGGGTGCTGTACGCGCTGAGGGCGCCGGCCCCGGTCAGTCGACTGGATTTCCATGTCCGCTACAGTAGTATACATGTAGGCTGGGAGATGACTGGAAGAGACAGACTATTAACTGCACAAAGTTGAAAGCATGCCATTATCACCGTGCTAACGCAACACTGTTGTATGTTCCTACTCAAACCGATGTATGCCTGGATGCACATTAGATCAGCCTGCACGCAATTGAGATAGTGCCTGAGAACTACTCTAATAGTTGATGTTTGAATGCAGTGTTTACTGTGTTGACCTTGACAGAAGTATTGTACGCTTTGTAGATACGTTTAGCAACCTGGAGACTGGAGATATTGTACTGGTCATCAACACAGCTTTGACCTGCTCAGCTGGAGGTTAGTAGATTCAACATGCACACACCTTGAACCTTGAACGCCCATTGCCGTGGCAATGATAGCGATGGCTTCCTCACGCAGTATGACACATGCCGGACACTCTGTCACAGCGGTATTTAGGGCTCGGGATGTCTGGGGCTTCCTTCTCGACCCTCTGTCGACAACACCGAAACCAGGTGGACCTCTCCTGCGCGCACACACACACACACACACGCACACACGCATACACACACACACACACACACACACACACACACACGCACACACACACACACACACACACACACACACACACACACACACATGCGGCTAGGAACTGCACACAATAGAACCAACATACAATAAAGCGATACATTTTCGCGGTGCGCACATTTTGCGTTTTCATGAATTGGGCTGATTCACGATGAGAAACTTTTGCGATTGTATCTCTTCAGTTAGATCTTGTACTGTCTACGATCATATACAGAGCTGTTTGCAGCGATCTATATTTGCAAATGTGTGATGGTCGCGAAAATAGCGAAAGTTTCTCACTTTACAGTAACCATATCATGCTGCTACTGTCGTTGCCATGCTTGTGCTGTGCCCAGCCTCTCCACTATTCACCACTGAGACTGGCAGTGTGGAGTTCTCTGTTACACCGGATCTCTCACACATCGCCGTGGCTTGTTCGTACTCCACACCACCGTCACGCCGTTGCTGCTCTCACTTGCGCCAGGGCAGTGCGGCCAGCCGCAGCAGTGTCGACGACGGCCATCGTTATGCCAACCGCGGCAGCCCCTATCTGCAGGAGAGCGACGTTCGAAACGGTCACCCTGGCAGCAATCGCGGTGGCTCCGGCCTGCACTTTCTGGACGTTATCAAGTACATCCGTCAGCACCCTGGCCACACCAGTCACAAGGTATGTTTGAATGGGATTGGGTGACCGCAAGAGTACATAGCCCCCCCCAGAGTGTGGAACTCTTGCATACCCTGCTGTCCCGGCGGCAGAATTTCAAGGTGCTGTCAATGCTCCTTGCACCAGTGATTTTACGACATTTATAATATACAGGACGTCAACGCATCACACGTTTTCTTTGCACTAGTTTGTACAGGATCAAATTGGGCTTTGTCCACCACAGGTTCAGGATACGTCTGATAATACGTGTATCATAAAAATGACGTCAACTTGAAATTCTGTCCGGACAGCACCCATAGCCGAGTTGCACACTCTTGGGAGGGGGGGGGGGGGGGGTATGTACTCTTGGTGTCCGGTGTAGGCTACCACTGTATTGTACTGTGCTTTGGGGCTGTGAACATGCCTGTGACCTTGTCCCAACTATTACGGTTGTCCTGTGGTGAAGGTGTTGCCACTTGAGTGCCAAGGCAGCCTATTTTCTCTCACACACACTCTCTCTCTCTGTCTTACTCTCCCTACTCTCTCCTCATCTCTCACACAGCTAATCCAGGAGGCTCTTCACAGTCGAGGAAGAGAGGTGCAGAGAATGTTCCCTTACCTGAACAACAGCAATTGGGACGAGGAGGCGGACGATATTGCATTCATGGCTGCACCATACAGTGGTCTGGTTGGTGATGCCCTCTGGCATCGAGAACTCTCGGCACTGCGACGTGGCATTGATGCGGCTGACTCCACTCACATCGGTATGCCGACCGGAGCTGGAACACTACCTTGTGCATTCAGGAATGGTGAGTTTGTGTGCATATCCAGGGGCGTACACAGGGTTCTTCAGAGGGGGTACATCGGCATGCATGTAACCATGCGGTGCATAGATGTTACATCGGCATGCTGCATGTAACCGTGCCGTGCATAGATGTTACATCGGCATGCTGCATGTAACCGTGCCGTGCATAGATGTTTCATCGGCATGCTGCATGTAACCGTGCCGTGCATAGATGTTTCATCGGCATGCTGCATGTAACCGTGCCGTGCATAGATGTTTCATCGGCATGCTGCATGTAACCGTGCGGTGCATAGATATCACGATATCAGTACTCTATGTGTATGCACGCGCAGTGCGAGATGAGAATCTGGGGGGTTCATTCGCACCCCTTGAACCCCCCCCCCCCCCCCTGGGTACGCCCCTGATATCAATACAATAACTATACATGAACCCCTTTTGCAACCTATTACATCTACATATAGCTGAGAGTGCTACGATTCTGTCGGGTGCTGAAGAACTGGGGGTCAGCCTCCTAGCCTAGATCATTCCTATTGTCATGTATTACAGTCTATGCACAGGTGAGTCACCCTGTATACATTGGTATGTTGTGCTTGGTGAAATCCTAGCCCGGTCGGTCTTCGGCGCTCCGTTCTTCGGCGCCCGGCACCACTGTAGTATTCCTTGAGCCTTGTGATACACAATGGGCATTGTGTAAACACTGCTGTTGCTGCTGCTGTTGCTGCTGCTGTTGCTGGTGCTGGTGCTGCTGCTGCTGGTGCTGGTGCTGCTGCTGTTGCTGCTGGTGCTGGTGCTGGTGCTGGTGCTGCTGTTGCTGCTGGTGCTGGTGCTGCTGCTGCTGCTGCTGTTGCTGCTGGTGCTGCTGCTGCTGTTGCTGCTGGTGCTGGTGCTGCTGCTGTTGCTGCTGGTGCTGCTGCTGTTGCTGCTGGTGCTGCTGCTGCTGCTGGTGCTGCTGCTGTTGCTGCTGGTGCTGCGGGTTCTGCTGGTGCTGCTGGTGGTGCTGCTGGTGCTGCTGCTGCTGCTGCTGGTGCTGCTCCTGCTGCTTATGCTGGTGCTGGTGCTGCTGCTGGTGCTGCTTCTGCTGGTGCTGCTGGTGCTGCTGCTGGTGGTGGTGGTGGTGGTGGTGGTGATGGTGCTGCTACTACTGCAGCTGTCGCGAGCCCCGCTGCGGCTGCTTCTGCTGAGTCTAGTCGAAATCCCTTTGCCTAGGTAGTATCTTTATAATGCTGGCTCATTTATGAACTCTGAAGAACGGCTGAGGCTTCCTGCAGCTTCATCTCTGAAAGGAATTCAGGGTGATTCACTGTTCTTATTACCTGACGATGGCCAAGTGTCGAAACGTTGTAAAACAACGGAACTGGTTCGGATGTGCACCGCTATGGGAATGGGTGTGTCCACCCGAATTCCTTTCATTTATAAGCATTGGTGAATGTTGGCAGAGGTGCAAGCGAGAAGTGTTTTTCATGTATGCGTGTGTGTGCGTGCGTGCGTGTGTGTACGTGTTTGCTTGTGTGTGTGCGTATGTATGTGTGTACATGTACGTGTCCGTGGTCTGCAGAGTCGGAAAGTGACGCCGTGATCGTGCATCTGCGCTGCCTCGCTTCAATCCACGCTTCACCGCAAGAGACAGCAGGCAGCAGCAACGGTACATCCAGCAAGGATACAGCATCCACAACCACTACCCTACTGTCGGCAACCAGAGGCACGGAGCAGGACACGCTCCTGCCGGAAAAGTCCACCCTGCAGCACGCACGCAATCACTCCGGTATCGTCCTGGCAACCATGACCGCCATTGAGGCGTTGGTGGAGCAGTCCCGGCTCAACTCGACGCAAGCTGCGTCGCTGCAGCTATGGCAACCTGCAAAGGTAGGTAGCTGTACAGTCATGTATATGGATTGGTTGATCTGCGCCTTTCTTTGATTTCTCACTGGTGTGTAGAGTCGACTGTACCAATTTGTCCCTGCTATCTTCCAGCCTTGCATGGCTGCCGAGTGAAAGTAGATGTTCGACTTTTTGTGTTGATGTTTGTATAAAGAGTTGTGCTGAAAGTGCTTAGGTATGTTGCGTAGTAATGGGATGTTTGGGCATGAGACTAAACAAAAACTAACCTTGCTCTACTGTTGTTGTACTGTGTACTTTGCTCTGCCTTCACGGCATCCCAGGACTCTAGCTTCACTGGGTGCGTCCTTCTTCTAGGTTTCAGGTGGTTGAATGTCTCAGTACCCCTGTCCGTTTTGTGCCTTGTTGTTGCACTATCTGACTGTATATGATCTCGGTACCATGGTGGACTGTTCCCAGTAGTTATAACTCGTAACTTATTGGCCCTTTCTCTTCTACATATAATACATTTGGCTCAGAATCTTCCTTCTGTGTTTTAATTTAATATGTTTTCTGTGTGTAGAAATGCACGTGGGGCAGTGGCTTCTTGTCGCTGCCCACCGACCTGCAATCACATCTAGTCGTGACCGATGTAGTGCTCAGTGCATCCACGGCTGCTGTCCTACTGCTGCCCAAACCCGGTGGCGGGGTGGCCGCTGCTCGCGATGACCTCACCATGCCCTCGTCGTTGTCGCTATTGTCGTCGTCACAGACAGACAGTGCATCATCATCATTGTCTGATCTGCAGGACGGTGCACTTGTTGTATATAGCTGTCATGACGGAAATACGGCAGTTTATCCGTGAGTTGTGTGGTGTTCCTGCTCTACCTATTATGTGTGCTGTTTGGATGATTGGCTCGATGCTGAAGACGGAGGAAGAGAATTATACTCGTGCTTGTTGCTGTTGCTGCTGTTGCTGCTGTTGTTGCTGGTGCTGCTGTTGTTGTTGTTGGAGGTGGTGCTGCTGTTGTTACTGCTGTTGCTGTTGGTGGTGCTGCTGTTGGTACTGTCATTGCTTCTGCCGCTGTTGCTGCTGTTGGTGGTGATGGTCATGTTGTCATAACCTGTTTTTCGTCATCTTTCTGCTTCCTGATACTTTCCTTTCTCTTTTCCGTTCCTGTCCTTATTCACTTGTCCTTTGTTCTCTTTCCCTTTGTTCAGTTTCTCTCAGGGTTGTCTGCCAGTAAATGTACGCTACGGCCATCTGCCATACTGCGTACTGTCCGCACGACAACTCTTCACCGTTGTCTACGGGGTACAGCAGGAAGACATCGTCAATCGGGTAGGTTGGCTTGCCGCAGTGTGCCTCTTGCGGTATTGCGTGTGTGTGTGGGGGGGGGGGGGTAAAATCTGTCCAGGGTTGTCGGAAGGTATTTTAGTGTGGTGCGATCAGCCATCTGAAGTACAATTACAATTTACTCATGGGGAGGGGTTGCTGAAGTAAATATTTTGGAAATTTAGAACAATATACTCGTGGGAAGGGGTTACTGAGCCCGAAAATTTGGAAATTTAGAGCCCGGATCAGGGTATCTTAGTGATTCACGGGGTACCTGGCTCAAAATGTGGTACGATCAATACCGTAGTGACCGTACCTTGTCCGACGCCCCTGCTTTCTTTTCGGCTACCTGCCAGTATAAACCGACACTACGGTACTTTCCAGTTTCCACTCAACGGTAGCACAAACTTCAGGCTCTTCAACAACATGGTTTTCGCAAGTAAACTCTTGTGCCTTCTCTTCAGGTGATATGCGGACAAGAGCTAACTTTTGAAAACCATGTTGTTGAAGAGCCTGGAGTTCGTGCTACTATCGATTGTTAATTCTTTTTTGTCTCCAAGGAAACTTTTTTACGGTGCTTTCCACGAACAATATTTCGTAGTCCTGCTTACATCCAGTTAGTGTGTGATCCATCTGCTCAGTTTTTTGTTTCACTGATTCTCAATCTGTGTGTGTGTTTCTCTCTCATTTTTGTCACAGCTAATCCTGTACGAGAACGCTATCCTGGCAGAGTTGGTGTGTCGTCTCAACCACTGGGAGAGGTGTTCTCTTCCACTGACCGCACTAGACAGTGCACTGCGCCACAAACAACTCGACTCCGTTGCATTCTTTCTCAATAGCCAGCAGGGAGGTGAGTTCCTGCTTGAAGTGTGTAGCTGCACTAATGAGGTTTTATAAACGAACTGCACACTGACCACGTGGTACCTAATTCTGTCATCACTTTGTTCAGTGTCCGTCGCGCTTTTCTTCCTTGGGGATGGGTGGTGTTAACCAGCTTATAATGTTTGCGTGCGTGCGTGCGTGCGTGCGTGCGTGTGTGTGTGTGTGTGTGTGTGTGTGTCTCTCTCTCTCTCTCTCTCTCTCTCACTCTCTCACTCTCTCACTCTCTCACTCTCTCACTCACTCTCTCTCTCTCTCTCTCTCTCTCTCTCTCTCTCTCTCTCTCTCTCTCTCTCTCTCTCTCTCTCTCTCTCTCTCTCTCTCTCTCTCTCTCTCTCTCTCTCTCTCTCTCTCTCTCTCTCTCTCTCTCTCTCTCTCTCTCTCTCTCTCTCTCTCTCTCTCTCTCTCTCTCTCCCCTATGACTGTAGGTTCCCTTGGTACCGACAGTAGTGATACAGTAGATGGATCTGGTGGTAAGCCACGACGTGGAGCACCAAAGCTAGCACCTGCTCAGGTATGACACTCATTACTCTGATTACTGTAGAGTGCCTCATTTCGATGGGTAACAACATTATAACCTAGCCTGAATTTGCGATGAAACCTTTTACCGTATTTTCCGGAGTATAGTGCGCACTTTAGATGTGCTATTTTAGGCCCTAAGTCGCAGGTGCGCACTATGCTCCGAATATGAAATGCATGTACTTCAATGAAGATTGAAGTGCGCACCCCCAATGAAGATTGGGGGTGCGCGTTATACAAAGGTGCGCACTATACTCCGGAAAATACGGTAGCGATCAGCGTTTCATTTCAGAAAAGAGTGCATGTTCTATTCAAGCAAGATGCTCCTTTCTTTCTGATGTGTATGTTACATCTCTGCACGCGCGTATGTGTGTGTGTGTGTATGTGTGTGTGTGTGTCACACACGTCTTTCTTCTCTTTCTCAGACTCTTCCTGACTTTTCTTTCATTCTCCTGGGTGGTTACCAACAGCCAGTGCATGCCGGAGTATGTGGTGTGATGTGTGTGTGGGAAAAAAAAGAAAAAAGAAAAAGACCAAAAATAGGGATTCACTGGCCAGAAAAAGTCACTTCAAATAGCTGTATGGTGTAGACCAGGCTGAATAGTGACGGTCAATTCTTCAGCCTTGCAAGCTGTTGAATGGTGCAATCCCAGCACAAGTTGCTATGGCTTCTGCCGTAGCATTGCTATCATCGCCTCCGGCGATGGGCGTCAAAGGTCAAGGTCAAAGGTGTGTGTGTGTGTGTGTGTGTGTGTGTGTGTGTGTGTGTGTGTGTGTGTGTGTGTGTGTGTGTGTGTGTGTACATGCCTGTGTTCTTGTGTGTGTATGTTCATGTGCCCACTCCCACTCTTAACAGGTGGAGATAGCCATAGACCTGCTGACACAGTCGGTGGAGCGCAGTGCAGCCAAGCAGAACAATCAGTATTGTCAGCAGCTACTGCACTTAGCTCTCAGCTTCCTGGATCAGCTGATGGACGCCGCTCTCGCTCGCCTTGCCGAACTTGAAGACGAGGAAGACGACGATGACGACGAAGACGACGATGACGCGATCACACGCGAGGGCGAAGACGACACGGAGGAAGACGCAGCCACACCGGTGGGATCCCTGAGCACCGTCACCTCGCCCTACCGTAGCCTGCTGTCCGCCGAGTCGCGCACCTCGCGTCTCCGCGTGCTCAGCGAATGCTCCACGAGCGGCGAGGACATCATAGACAGTTTGTCCGTGGAGAAGCTGGGCAAGGCTGTTGCTCGCTTGCGCAAGTTTGTACGCCCCGCCGCCACTCAGGAGCCGCTCAACGGCGAGGCATCGCCTGCTGCACCGTCATCACAGAAGGGTTCTAGTGTGGATGTGTCATTGACAGCAACGCCACAGCAACAGCAGCCGCAACAGCAGCAGTATGCTACACAATTGCTTCACTGCCGACCTGCAAGAGCCGGTGGTATGCAATGGCCGGAGCATTGGGCAGAGTTGGAGGTCGAGGTAAGCGTGTGTGTGTGCTGATCTAATAGTGACCTATGCAGCTTTTTTGATGCTGTATGCCAGTGTGTGTGTGTGTTGGGGGGGGGGGGGGGGGGGGTGCGTGTGTGCGTGCGTGTGTATGTATGCTGCTCCACTTCACTCACACCTGTTTCCACCTAGCAATCATCATTGACTGTGGCTGATTCCTCTAAGCTCTGCTGTTTAGGCGATGAGCGCTTCTGCTTCACTCGGAGTTACTGCCGTTTCCTTATCTGTGTACGTATGTTTGTCCTTCTGTGTGTGTGTGTGTGTGTGTGTGTGTGTGTGTGTGTGTGCGTGCGTGCGTGCACGCACGTGTTTGTGTGCATGTGTGTGTGTGTGTGTGTGCGCGCGCGTGCGCGTGTATGTGTGTGCTTGCGTGTGCGTGCGTGCATTTGCATGCATGTGTCTGCTGTGCCACCAGGAGGTTATTCGCGACGGTATACTGACCTCACGCATAGCTGCAACACAGGCATTCCTAGTGCATCAAGGAAGACAGCAGCACATTGCTGATGTGAGTGATAATTATCATCATCTAAATTCTGCATGTAAACTGCTGTGAATGCTGATATACATCACATGCAAATTGCTGATGTGAGTATTGCTGTACATTTGCTTGGTCCGGCTCATCGCAATTGTCGCTTATCTATCGCCACCAAGAACAGGAGTTTTGTTACCGCTCTGTGAAATTTCCAATAGGCATAGTGAGGAAGCATGATACATGAATACTCTCCGCCACAAGAAAAAAATTTCAGCAATGGAATCTGGTGAAGCGAGTCGAAGAAGAGAAGCAAGGTTACAAGCAAATGTACAAAATAAATCGGCGAGGAAGCGGGTTCTTGCACTCACGCTTTTACAGGTTCAGAGTTCATTCAACCCTGCATTACTTGAGCTGACATTTGCTGGTAAAGTATCCCTTGCTTTGTCTGCCTGCCTATGGCAGCAATGGGAAAGGAACAGCTGTGGCTGTCACTTCGCTGCTTGAAGGAACCCTGGGCAGTATGACCTGTGTGTCACCACAGTGTGTTTCAACAAAGCCTTTGAATGAGGCATACAGGCCTCTCCAGACAGCTGTCTTACGCTCCGCTGGATACGCTGACCACGACTCTTGTAATGCTACTGCCAGGTAGGTCCACGAAAACACCTTTGTTCTTCAGCATGACGCTCATACGTAGAGTCTACTCCTCTGTGGTACACGCGTGCCTGTCACGCTCTGCAGGATGTCAGTTGGCCCAGTTGCCCCTGCTACAGTTCCGGTCTTCGGGTCACTGCGCTTGGCTTTTGGCAACACAGACCGTGAATGGCCAGATTCCCACTTCCCAAAAAAAGTCGAACACGTCGCGATTCGAAGCGCTAGTCGCTCTCATTTTCTTTGGAGCCTCCTTTGATCTTGCCATCACAACCTCCCAAGCAAAAGTAAGTTAGATATCGCGATTGGACTGGGTTTTACCTGTCAAAAAGTGCGTGGGAGATAAGCGACCATTGCGATGAGCCGGACCAATTACATTGCGTTTCTCCTTTCACTCAAACACCCACCCACTGGATTCGCACCCAAAATAGTCTTGCCTCCCAAAATTCAACGTACCCCGACTTCACCCAAGGCAAATGTGCCTTTATGAACCGTCTGTTAGTGACTAACGACTGCATTTTCGTTGAATTGCCTGAAAACCACCAAAAATCGACAAATGAGTAGGAGGGAGCCACTTTTTCACAGGAGGGCACTGAATCACAGTAGGGGGCGCTGCCTCCCCCCCCCCCCCCCCCCCCCACCACCACCTTCCTTTGGCTAGAACCCTGAACTATTAGACACGATTCAACTCGGATGGT